TTTCTCCAGGCTAGAAAAAAAAGTAAAGTTAAACTGGGAACAGTGGGAAAAAAACCCTTATTTGAAAAAACTTCACCTAATAACTGTCAGAATCCTGTGAATTTTCTTGGTATGTGCATGTGTGTGGTGAAAAGAGATGAATGGACTGTTGTTCAGCTTTCTCAGTGGTGTTTTTCGCTCTCCCCTGCCCGCTCCCCCTTCCACATACTCACACACACACACACACACACACACACTCGCACAGCCAGGGACAAGGCAAACACCAGCAAAAGTGAATGTTATTTAACTTTAATCCATAAAATGCCAGTTCAAACCAAGAGGTAACATAAGAGTTGTGAATGTATAGTAATGTTTAAAACATATAATTTAAACTGGAAAAAAAACAAGCAATTTAAAGACATCCACATGGCTTGGGCCACTTTGTAGAACTGTGGAGACACACTTTTAAATAGCTACACAGTTTCCACACATAATTATCTGAAGAAATTGATATGAACCTGCACATAGCTTGTAACATACAGGATAATTTTATGCCTTTTTAAACATAAGACACACACGGGGGGGGGGGGGGGTAGCATTTGCTTGTTACACATTGCAAAGTACATTTGGAAAAGCCCTCTCATATTCTTCTCAAGGAGGAATGTTTGATAATTTTTCAACTTAAAAAAAATAAAAAGCAGGCAGTTTGCTTTTGATATATAATATCCCTCACTGCTTCTGCTAAGGAACAGTACATGGAGAGGCTGGAATTTTCCACCAAGTTCCAGAGACGGCACAAGAAGCTGAAAAATGGACAGCAGTGAGACTGAATGGCTTGTTTGCAGTGAGGCTGTGCTGAGATGCCCATTATTCTGGAATACTTTTGGTAACACATAAAATAAGGGATATCTCCATTTCAGAACCCATTTCAGTAGCATTCTATGCAACAAATAGTAGAGCCCCACAGCATTTTTGAAACGTTATGCTACAAGCCCTAAGTGGGGGAGAGGTCTCACACACAAATCAAGACTTTTTCGGTACTCTTCCGTGCTGCCTGACATTGCAGTGGGTGGTATGGGAAACACGTGGCAAGAGCTGCTTATTCTCACAGTGGATTCTTTGTGATAACCCTGGGCTTGGGCAAACTGCAGCACTGCAACTGAATGTTGTGTACTACTTTCTCTTTTCAAGATAGCAAGTGTAGCAGCTGGTGTTTGCATAGTGCCCTTATTTACAAAGATGGAGAAGTCCTTGCTCAGCAAGCAATTTCTTTTTTTCTTTTCTCAGTGTCTATTTTAATTTTTTCAACTATACAGACATATCAACATTTTCTATACAGCTTATACAGAAAATCTTCCAGTATTTCATACCTTCACCCGTTGTTTCTTCACTATTTATCCTCTTTCAACTTTTGTAGCCAGTAATACACTTTGTCTCACTTCTTGTCAAACTCTTTATCATTTTTGCCTTGAATAATAAAAGTTAGTTTCTCTAATTCCGCGACTTCAAAAATCCTACTTATAAATTCCTCTTTCGTTGGAATATTTTCATTTTCCCAATATCTCGCATATAGGATCCTTGCTGCCGCCAAGATATGCATAATCAAATAAACTTCAGATTTCTTAAATACCTCAGGTATTATATTTAACAGAAAAAATTCTGGCTTTAGTTGTATTTCTACTTCTAAAATTCCTTCTATGACCCATTTTATTACCTTATAGCAGGGTGGCATTCATATTTATGGTATCAAAAATGGCAAAGAATAGTTATTTCATGCAACACGCGATTAGAGGAGCCCTATACAAAATTTGGGAAGATGCTAAAAACAAATATTACCAGAAGATACCACAGTGGGTTTCCCCCATTGAAGCCTTTGATAGGCCTACGTTATAGGGAAAGTGTATAATTATATAGGGAAAGTCAAGTGTATAATTATATACTAGAATATAATATGCAAGACAAATGGGTTAAACCTCAGATGATAAAATGGGCAAAATGATATAGAGTTAGAGGAATGGTTGAAGATATGGTCCAGGAAAATCAAGTATATAAAAACAAACAATTTTAAAGAAAACACAGTCAAGACGTTCTATATGTGGCATATATCCAGAAACTGTTGGAAGTGCAAACTCAATATTGGTACCTTTTTCCATATTTGGTGGGCTTGTAAAAAGCTCAGCAGGCAATTTCTTGGCGGTCCCGAAGATATGCAGGTCCCTGGCCATATAGGGCTTTGAAGGTTAGCACCAGAACCTTGAACTGGATCCGGTAGTCTAGCATTGTTTTAAATTATTGTTTTAATTATTTCAGTGTTGTTGTTGAGACTGTGTGGCTCTGTAACCCGCCCTGAGCCCGTTTGTGGGGAGGGTGGGATAAAAATAAAATTAAATAAAAGTAAAATAAATAAATAAAAAGGAAGGGGGAAAAGTCCTAAAAGATCCTTCTTAGACCTTAATTATGTTTCCTACTACCTACTCTAGTGCATCCTATCAGCAAAACTGTAAGGTAAAAAAAGGAAAAGAAAATAAGAAAATTCTGATCTACTATTAGATTTCAGAGGTTATGTTTATTAGCCATCCCAAACACTATTGTCATTAGATCACATTTTGTGTGCAAGCATACTTCTTCAGATACAGTGAAACAATGTCCTCAACCATTTCATATAGATAGAGGGTAGAGGGTTAGTTGCTAGGAAGGGCTAGTTAAAGTCAAGATGTATAGGTCACTGAGCAATAAATATAGCTAACAATGGAATAACACATTTGGTAAAACATGTTAATAGTATTAGCATCAAATTGGCACTGGTACCAGTGCTTGCAATAAACCCAGATGCCAACTAAGCTGCTACTGCTGCTGTTTGGTCTTGGTTATTTTGTTTTAAATAACTTAATTTTGTATCACCCAGCTGGCAGATTGTAGTATGAAATAGCAGCATACCTAAATTCCAAAGGGAACACTTGTTTGGCTTTACTGCTTCCTTTCCCCCCATGGCCCAGCTGTGTGACCATTTTCACCAAAAGACAATTGGAGGAAACAATTGTGCCCGAAAGCAGTTTCCTTCATCTATAAGTTGCCCGAGGGAGACATAAGAAAGAAAAGAGGGAGAAGGCAGCTGGAGCTTTGCCCTGTGACAGAGAAGCTCCAGAAAGGAACCAGCCCCAAGGTAAGATTCGCAGCTCCAGTGAGATACAGGGAATTAAAAAAAAAAAAAAAGGATCCAAGGGAGGAGCAAAGCAGAGAGGAAAACTAGAGCTCTCTCATCTGACTTGACATTGTCTAATCCGGTGTTTATGTGAAGAGACATCAATAGGTATGTTGGTCCGGGGGTTTCCCAACAAGATGATGTCTGGCAGACTAGAGACACTGGGTGTTGCAGAGGGGGTGAAAAACTAACTAAAAGGGGAAGAAGGGAGGGATTCTCAAGTACGGTATTGATATGTTAGTTTAGGAATAGATGCAAAGTTCCCTTGATGAATGACTGCTGGATGTGCTGTTAGATGGTTATTTTATTGTGCTGTAACTGCACTTCTTGCGTGGGACCTAGAGTCTGATTGAGCAATAAATTTATATATGTGTGTGTGTGTGGCCACAGTTAACATATCAAGGGAAAACTGGATTTTCTTAGCAGCCTGAACTACAAAATGTTGGTGCTAGGAAAATGTAGTTCCCACCCCCATGAGCAAGTGGGTTCGAACTGCTGCATATGCAAATGCTGCTGGCATCTTTCGACTAGTACCCGTGACATCACTCGTGAAAAGTAACACAACTCCCCAGCTGTGCCTGGCTATGGTGTGGTCAGGCAGCACTAAGAATTAAATGCTTGTTTTTCTAATCAAGAAAGGCCCCTAACTCCCCCTACTGAAATGCTTGCAAGTTCTCTTTTAGGAAACAGGGAATCCATATAGAATTATGAGGGACAGTGCTATTTTTCAGACGTTACAGTCACACATATTGAGAGGTTGCCAACTATTTGCATATCCTCCTGATAGGTATAGTCACCATATTGTCTGAGCATGTAAGTTACACTATATATACACACAAACATGTTGTCTGAAAAGAGCAGCAGTTACTGTCAATTTGTCAAAAGGCTCACATCCAATTTATGTATTAAGTGCAGAGCACAACAACATAGTGTCCAACTCCCCCCCCCATTTATGGGTTTTTAGGTCATGTATTCTACAAATATGCAATATCACCTGCTTTTCATGCATGCCTCATATGAGGTGCAAGATGTGCAATCCTAAGAAATTTTCAGTTTTTAAAAAACAAGGTTCTATATAGCTCCTTCAAATAAATCTACCTCCCCCCTCATTTCCTGTCCGTAAGGACTGAGGCCATAGAGGCCATATCTCGCTCACATGAAGATAATAATGGTCTGTTACAACATAGAAAAGTGAATTCTGCAGTTTCCAGAGACCCAGCAGCAGCAGGGAAACTGAGGGCAGGAGGGTCCAACACCAGTGCTTCCGTCTAGCCAGGTTGCTGAGTCAGATACATTTTTAGCTGTATATTTTGCTGTTGCTTGAACAAAAGGAGGAAGCTGTGATCCCCCTCTGCTGCTGCTTGTGTTGACTCCAACTACTTAAAATCTTTGGTGGAACTTCATGGAAGACAGATTTCCAGCAGTAGGGATGGGCACGTGACTATGGCAAGAGAGAATGGCTGTGTAAGGTGAAAAGCAGGGCTTTCACCCCTATAATACAGTTTTTGATTTTATTTGAATGTCACAATTATGAAATCTTCAGGATCAGACATGCCATTTATGTACTAATGCAGTCCCAAGCAGAATTAGGACACTGAAGCTAATGGACTCAGAAGACTGTAACTCCTGCTTAGGATTGCACTGTAAATTAAGCCTTGCAGCAGAGTGCAACAGTTCCCTGCAGTCTGCCACGCAGCACAAGCTAGTTACATGTTGACTCGATAGTACTGCTGCAGAACTTCGGCCACAGATAGTCACTACTAGTTTCTCAAGTCTATTAAATGTTTTAATATTTTTTTTTATTGCAGAAGAGAGAATTATGGCTCAGTATTGGAGCAATATCTTCATGCTGCTGCTGCGGGCTCTGATCTTTGCCCCCCAAGCACTTCTCCATGGTTTCCAGTGTCCCATCAGCTGCTCCTGCTCTTTCTCTGAATGGTTTGTAAAATGCTCCAATGCCAGCTTGTCTTCTCTTCCCAGTGGTATTCCGCACACCACAGTGGAACTTGACTTGCAGTTCAATCAGTTCAACAGCTTGCGGGAAGACACTTTCCCAGATTTGCTTGAGCTCAGCACTCTTTACCTTGGGAACAGCCAGGTGCGTCAAATTGAGCCCGGAGCTTTCCAGGGTGTGAGGAATTTGTACCATCTCTATCTGGACAACTGTCTCCTAGAAGAAATCCCAGGAGGAGTGTTTGAAAATTTGACTAATCTAGCCTTCCTGCATTTAGAGCATAACTGCATTGCTTACATCTCACCAGGTATTTGGTTGGGAAATTATCACCCTATCTATAATAGCAGTGAGAAGTAGCCTGCACCCCTCCTAACTTAATTATTCAGCTGTCATACCCCCAATCCCCAGACATCTCAGGGTTTACCCATGGTACAGAAATGATGTACTCTTGGTGCCTAAGAGAGGGGAATAGAAATTATTGATTTCAGTCTCACCGCTATCACAAATGTATTAGGTAGCCTTAGGCAAGGAACTCTGCCACCGATTGGCAATTCAGGGACAGTTATTCTGACCACCTTTACAAAGTTCTGGTATGGGTAAAAAGATTATTTACTTATTTATTGTAATTTGTATCCTGCCCTACCCCACATAATGTATATGAAGCAATAGACACTTGCAAGTGCTATGCAAATACCAATTATCATTATTATGTAAAACACAAAGCACATATAATAGAATGATACACACAATCATAGGACATGTAAGGCTTGGCTGTATACCAGGTGCTTGCTGATTTAACTATACAGTTGGCCTGGAATGAGATAGCAGAAACAAGACAGATCAGATACCCCTGAATTTATGCTGAAACACTTTAAGCAGCTAAATTTCCCTCTCTCCAGCAACCAAAACAAATGGATAGTAATACCATAAGTGTTCTTAAATTTATTCACTTAGGTGCCAGCTCTTCAACTCCATCCATCTGTGTATGTTTTAGTTCCTTAAGACCCAAGAGGTACTTTTACTTTCCTCTTAGTTAGGGAGAAAGGAGAATAATGGTCGATGTCTCCTCTGCTATTTTACAGCACCAATTTGGGGGGAAAGCACAATTGTAACAAATCAACATTCTATATGTACAGAAGGAACATAATCTCTTCTTCCCTCTCAGAATTGGTTGGGAAAAATTATGCCTCTGTAGAGATAGAAATAAACAGGCCAGCCTGGAATAGCAGAACATGCACTTTAGCTACCAGGACAGACCGGGCTAAATCCTGAGGTGGCATGGGTACAAAGGAAACGAAAACTCAGGTCCAGTGAAGAAACAAAGAAGATGCAGACAGCCAAAGGACTAGCCAGTCTCCTGATAGCTTCCTCACCATGAACAGAGAACATAGTTTTTTATTGTTGTCTGAGCTATGTGTCACTGAGTTTTTTTAAAGCTGCTTGCTGCCAGTTGGACATGTTCTCACTTTTTCTCTCTTGTAGGTGCATTTTCCTCTTTGAAGCGATTGAGCTCCCTGGATCTGAGCTACAATCGGTTGACTGAACTTTCAGACCAGGCCCTTAGGGGTCTCGAACAGCTACGCCAGCTTCACCTCAGCACTAACCTTATTGCCAACTTGTCAGCCAGAGCCCTCCCGGGCAAGCTGCGCACTCTCTACCTTGACCAGAATCAACTAGATAAGGTGCCTGGCACCATCCGCACCTCGACAACACTCTCCACCTTGCACTTGAGTGGCAACCACATCTCGCAGCTGACCTCCCTTTCCTTTGGGCGGAAGCTTCGCTCTCTGAAGCAGCTGTTTTTGGATAATCTTGATCTAAAAAAGATTGCCACCTTAGCATTCAAAAGGCTACGCAGACTCGAGGTCTTGAGCCTGAGAAACAACAGTTTGGAGTCACTGCCATCTCTAGAATCACTGAAATATCTCTCCATTCTTTATCTGACTGGAAACAAATGGCAGTGTGATTGCAACTTGATCTGGCTACGTACCTGGCAGAAGAAAGCTATGAGAAAAGAACGCAGCCTGGTGGAGTGCGGCTCCCCCAAGGCCCTTCAGGGACAACTCCTAGTGAATACAGAGGCAAGTAACTATCCAATTTATGTTTATTAACATTAACAGCCAAAACAATGAGAACTCCCAGGATACCTCAGAAGTAGTCCTTAGACAAATGGCCACAGGGCAAGGAAACGGAAGGTTTCTTGCACTTACCGTGAATCTTCCTTTCTCAGTGGTTCTGGAGTGTTACATTCCTGCAGGAAGAGGAGGAGCTTATCCCAGAAGTGAGGAATGTACCACGACATAACCACTGGAATACTCCTCTTTCCAATGGCTTCTGCAATGTAGTTTAGGACAGGCCTTAAAATTTACCTAGTGCCCTTTCCCTGAACAGCCTATGGGCATTGGGTTTTGATGCTCCATCAGACAGCACTACGGCTAAAAAAATCCTGGGTAGTTTCAGAATTGGAGCCCGTGCTTACTGACTTGGCTACTGCAATGAAAGATGGCTTTAGATGCAGACTGGGGAAATGAGCATAGTGACAGAAGTATTAGAGTAAGTACGCCCCTCTGTTTCCAGATTGATTCAGGAAGTCCATTGATCTTTGTGTGTCTGGTGTTCCCAGCAGTGAAAAAAGAAAAAGAAAAGTGAACGAACAGTGGAACAATATGGTACATACTGTAAACAGAGCAGAGCAAAGGTATTGCTATACATGATCAGTGCTTTATAGAACAGCCCTGAATGTAAGCTGCTTTGGGTCCTCTTGGGGTGAAAAGTGGGGCATAATTAAAATGAGTAAATATTTTTGTTGCAAAAAATACCAGAATTTTGTTTTGTAAGAGAATAAACTTGATGTTTGGTTAATGTTTGGGTCCAGAAAGCTTACACAAGCCCTTCCCAGTTGAAGCCACCAGCTTCTCCTTCCTAACCCCTACTCCCATTTTCTGCATTCAGTATTTTAATGTACACTTTATTCTTATGGTGTCAAATTACACCTTCCATAGAAGCAAGAGGAAACTGGCAGCTGCCCTTTGCACAACTCTGGGGGGGAAAATACAGGAATGATCAGTAATAATGAGTCAGGGAGAGAGCCTTTTCCCCTCAGACCACTGAAAGAGAAATAGAAGAATAATTGCCTGAACTGCTTACATACCTCCCATCAAAGCCCGTAATGGCCTTGGACCGGCATACCTGTGAGACCAGCTCTCCTGCTATGCCCCAGTGGGATCACTTTGCCTATCTGAGCAAAGCCTGCTGACGCTGCTGCCAGCCCGCAAATAGGTAAAAAGAAAACCAGCAAGTTCTTGTTCACCTCTGCAGTGACTCCCAACCTTATGGAATAGTTTCCTGAGGTAGTCAGGGAGGCCTCAACACTTCTCTCATTTTACAGAAGGTGCAAAACAGAAATGTTCAGGAAGACATTTTTACAAATACATCACAGAGCAGCACAGAAGGTTGCTTCTATACGGAATCGGATTGCAGTCTTTTTTACACCATTTATTTCACATATCACCTCCCTTCTTTACCGCAATGCCTTCTGCCTCTGTAAATGTCCCCTCCCCTTTATTATGGTATGTCAGCCATGCCTTTGACTCGCTTCCTTTTGCTGTCCGATGGAATTTGTTTCCAGATTTCGTAATCCTCCTTGAGTAGCAGCAAGAAAGGTGGGCAATAAATAAATATACATTATTTAATAATAATAATGTGTAGGAAGCAGGCTTTTCTAGTGCTTCACAAACCTGCAAAAACCTGTTGGCCAGAGTGGGCACAAAAGGAATATGTACTTCCATAGGCAATGACAACCTTCATATCTTCAGCTTTCTATTTAAAAAACTGTCTATATAGCATACAGATAATAAGCAAAGAAACTGCCATGCAAGTTAAACTCTGACTGAAACCATGAGGGATTGGGCTTTCCTATGAAACTATAGGGCTCTGCAGCTGAAGGATACATGTTACATTTGGGAACTTGTTTTAGAGTGGTTTGTATGACTGATATACAAAGGGTTGAGAAACATGCTGATCTCCCGTCCTTTTCTCCCCCCTCCCCAGTTACAGAAACTGACTTGTCCTCCTTTTCAAATTGATTCTGCCTTCAACTCCTCTGCAAATACTGCACTCAAGACCACTATTCCACCCAATGAAAGACTTCTACCACAAGCTACAACTGCACAGACTACTACTGCTGCTACTTTCACTACTTTAATTACCAGCAGGATCATCTCCACAGCAAGAACAAGTACTCAAAATAACTACCATGTATTAGAGAAATACGATCCCTGCCTACCTAACCACATTAGCAGCATCCACACACAGGAAAAGGGAGACACTGCTCTAGTAGTTACCTGGTCGTCCTCTGGGGACCATGACCAGTTTGAAGTGCGCTGCAAGTCTGCTGTGGATGAGCAAATATTGCGAGTGACTGGAGGGTTAACAGAGATGGAGTTTCATCATCTACAACCAGGGACCGAGTACAGAATATGTATCATTCCCCAGAATGACAACCTCTTGAAATGTGTGGCTCCAACAGCCCAACAGTGCACATCAGGACACACCAGAACCCACCCTGTACCTCAACACAGAAGTTTAGCCCTAGGAATTGGTGTCACTGCTAGCATTCTAGCACTGATGGCCCTGCCCCTTTTTGCCTTTTATAGACAGAGGTTCCAACAAATCCAGTTCCGACGCTACTATGATGAAGACAGTCCATCTTTTCAGTGCCAAGGTATTCCACAGTCCAAGCTGACCACAGAGCCTGTCTATGAGACCTTATAGAATCATCAGCATGTTTACATGACAGTTGCCAGCCAACAGCGCCAGGTGGAGTATATCCCAATTCCTGCATCTACCTACTCCGAACGAACAAAATTCCAGTTCCAAACTCAAGCTTTATTAGTTACTTCCAGTAATCAAAAAGTGCTAGGACCTATGAACTCATAACTGTGGGCAAGAAAGTTCCTGACCTATCAGTGATTTCAACATAAAACTGTAAGACATCTCAGACTCAAACTTAGCCATTTTTAATTGAATATTTACTCCACAGAAATAGAAGCCAACTGTTTGCTTTCATGACTGCAGACGGGAGATCTACTTGTCCCTCACGTTTGGATCAACAGTGGTTTTGTAAAATAATCCTGGAGTCACTTACAATGTGCGTTAAAACTTTAATTACCTTGGCCATAATATTGACCTTGACTATTGGTTGCAAATATGGAAAAAGAATGTAAGAATAACAAAATTGGTCTCTTTATAAAATGTTCTATAGGTGGTATATAGCACCAGAGAAATTAGCCAAAATGTATCCTGGAATGTCTGACATGCTGGAAATGTAAAATACGGGTGGGAAGCTTCTTTCATGTTTGGTGGAAGTGTAAAGATGTGATGTTATACTGGAGAAGGGTTCATGAAATATTGCAAAAAATATGTCTGATACCACTACCATTTAAGCCAGAAATGTTTTTCCTTAATATCATGCCTGATATAAAAGATAAGAAAGTTAATCACTTAATTATATATATAGTTATGGCAGCAAGAATTCTTTATGCTACGTATTGGAAGAAATCAGAGATACCAACGAAAGAGGAACTCTTGACAAAAAAATTTGAAACAGTGAAAATGAATATATTGATAGATTTGTTAAAACACCAAAGTAAACAAAATGCGAGAGAAAATTGGACACTATTTTATGAATGGGTGAAAAGCCCTGAAAAGGGGAAATCATGAATCATGGATTACAATTATTATGAACTTGGGAGAAACTTAACTTGAACTGTAAAGAATATGTACTTTCTCAGGAATCATAATAGAAAATTGTAATGATTTGATTAAGCGACATTAGAAATTATATAAATGAAAAAAGACTGGAAACAAAGATTTAAGATGAAAACTGTCTCGTGACAGCTATTATATAAGCCTGATGGAAACTTTTCCTATATGTCTTATCCCATTCCCCTTGTCCTCCCCTTCCTAAATGTCCTCTATAGTAGGGAAAATCAAATAAAAACTTATTAAAAAACGAACAACACTATGTGTGTTAAACCTGTTTGGCAGGGATCAGACAACAAGCAAGCAAAGATGCCTTATGCCTCCATCCATTATATTTAGGATCCTCATCGCTAATGCCAAAATTATATACACATACATTTTCTCTGAGAGACTGTATTCGGGTGAATTGAAGGCCTCTCTTCCAGCCATACAAGCAGCTTCCAATGGTGGAACTGGATCTGCTGATGGAAAAGGGATGGTTTGAACTGCTTCTGCCTCCTCTTCCTCACTGTAGCACTAGCATATTCCTTTAGCCTTCAGCCCCTAGTGCAGCTCAAAGACAGCAGCTGAGGGAAAGCAGGTAAAATCTACCTCTACTGGTGCTGCATAAGATCCAACCTACTGTTTACAATGTGGCAATTGCTCTTATCAATTTATCTATATACATTATATTAATCAGCTTTTTCACTTTTTGAAAAAGTATGCATACACACGAAAGCTCATACCTTGAATAGACCTTTGTTGGGTGCCACTGGACTCAAAATTTGTTCTACTGCTTCAGACCAACACGGCTGCCCCACGTTTTTCTCTGATTATGTACATCCAAGAAAACCTAAGTTATGACTTATAAAATCTACAAAAGCACAGACTACATACTTTCATGAACACACAAAGCTGATTTATTTTGAGGCAGACCTTTGGCCTGCCAAGGAGAGTATTCCCTACTCTTGCTCTGACCTATGTGCTGAAAATGACCATTCACTCCATGGGTGAGATTAAGGTGGAAATAACAAACATTACCCCAGAGACAAATAAAAAGACTCTAGCCCTACAGCATTCCTGGTGGAAGAATATAAGATTTTATAAGGCAATTTAAGTCAGATGCTCAACGGCTTAAAAAAATTCATGATGTATTGAAGGCCACAGCCGTAAAAGCACAGCATATTTATTTACTTCACTTAAACCCCATTCCTGCCCCCCCCAGTGTAGTTCCTAAGTGGCTTACAACATTCTCTTGTCTATTTTATCTTCACAACTCTGTTAAGTAGTGTGAAGTAATGCATTTTCTCCTGGGAGGCTGGCACTGATCAAAAGTCTCCAACGTGCGTTTTAAAAGCCCCCCCCCCTCGCCAGAGAACAGGCATGGGGGGCGGGGGAGAAGTCTGTGCAAGGGATTTCCAGACATATCTCAGCTTACCTGCATTCAAATGCTAATAGATCTAGGAGGAGAGATAATGGGTGGGTCCAGATTTCCCCCTTCCCCAAGCAGGGAACAGAGATCTGAAGGATTAGAATGCTAGAAAGTCTCCAGGAAACACCTCTTTGACCTGGTGTGACCTGATCAGGGGGTGGAGAAGCAGATATGATAAAAACTCCTGGCAACAGGAAGGAGCTCTCTTTTGTGCTGGATCCATTAGAGGAGGAAGATCTCTGAGCTGAGGTCTAGGGGGAGGCAGCCATTTTGATCATGGGCTTACCTATGGAAACTCTGTAGAGAGATATAACTCCTAAAGAACCTGTCTTCTTTTCTAACATCTGATAGGACATGTATAGAGAGAGGGACAGAGGATTTGCATTTTTGCCCATTTCTTTTGTAACCCTTACTCAAACTGGTGTTATGCTAAAAGTATTCTTGTAAACATTTTCTTTTTAATAAATACTTTATAACTTTGGATGCTAGCAGGGGTTCTCTGTACTACATAGACCTCCACCGTCTTGGATACGCTATTTTAAAAGGAGTGCCAGGAGGAAGGCAGGCAACTGGCAAGCTGCTATTTCTCCAGGTGTGCATGAGGTCGTAAAGTGTTGCCATGGTGACCAGGCACTGGGAGACACAGAGGCAAGGCCTCAGAACTGGGAAGGAAAGCTGTGAGTCCTGACCCTCCCAGTGGGCAATTCCGTACAAAGGTCAGGTGATGGTGGCGAGCTACCCAAGAGTGGAAGAAAAGGCTCTCTAGGTGTGGAGAAACACCAACGAGGGCAGGGTGGAATAGGGCCTGCAGGCTAGAGCAAGCATGTCCTGCCACAGTTAGGTTAGACTGAGAGGATGTGACTGGCCCATGGTCACACAGCAAGTTTCCATGGCAGAGTGGGCGATTTGAACCTGGGTCTCCCAGATCCTAGTCTGACACTCTGACCACTACACCATGCTGGCTCTAAAACCACAGTGCTTATTTAATCAGTGATGTTGCCCTTATTTTCTGAGCAGGGGACTTTGGGAATAAATGCCACTTTGAAAGGAAGAGCAGTTCACCAAAATTTGTTCTTTTGCGTGGCCCTTGCACAAGAGATGCTCCTAGTGGCTTGTCTTCTCTGACCAGAATACCACATAGCTTGATATGTCATGCTGGCTGGAGAAAATTTGAGAGTATTAAGTGAGGAACTCAATTGTAATGTGATCCCTTCAAATTCTGAAATGAAATGAGGTCTCAGAATAATTGTAAATGCAAAAATCCTAAGTCTGAAGAAGAGAACAGCTGAGCAAGAGAATAGAACTTTCAAGGGGGGCAATTACTCGCAATGTGTGAAGGAGCCTGCTAATTTTCAGTTCTACTTCTGTTTGATTAGCCTAATTCCTCCTTATGCAGTAAACATCCCCCAAGCTGAACCGATGAAACCTGCTACTCCATGGACAACAATGATCCCCACTGACAGGAAGAGAAAGAATAAAGAGGAACTGATTTTAAGGACAGCCACAACGGATTTTGCTTATTCTGAACCAAATCTATTTTAATTGAGCACATGTGTGTGCATAAAGCAGTATCACAACAGCAGGCCACCAGAATCAGTCCTATTAGTGGAAAAATCCAATGAAAAGTGGTGAAAGATCACTCATGAGAACCAGACAGGCAATGAAATGTCTGTTTCTTAGGGATATTTGCCACATTCCACACAGACATCCCAAATCTCAGAGAAACAAAGCAGAAACATTGGTTTCTACCTAGGTGATGGTCAACAACAAGGGAAAAAACCACAAACCTAATTGTGCTTCAGACACAATGGCGTAATAAAGCTACATTCAGAATTTTGCTGCTGCTGCTGCCGCTGCCCCAAGGGAGGAAGTTCTTTGACACACAATGCAATTTGAGACAACAGGTGGGTCTCAAATCCTGACAACAGCTGAATTTGAAAACAGAAATCGAAACAAAACAAGTGTAGGAAAATCAGGAAAGGACTAGTGGAACAAAAAACTGTACAGATAAAACAGGGAAGGCAGAGTTCAAGTTGGAAAAATTGAGCTTAAAATAACAATAATGAAAAAACCACAAAAACATAAAAAGCATAGTGCAGAGTTCCTCAAAGTTTGTTATAGCAGACGGCGGCCAAACATCCTGGAGACAAGACAGGAAAGGTTTTTCATCCCTAAGTTCTAATTGTCTTTTCTTGCTCTCCATCTTGGAACGCTTTGCTGACAGTCCTATGACAGTCCTATGGCAGCTGCTCATGTGCTACAGCTGATGGAGAGTTTGCAACAGTAAGTGGCGAGCAACAGAACAGGAATCCAAAGCACGGTTGGGCCTGCAGAGACAAAAGAAATGAAAAGATAAACATCTTCACATTATAAATTGACTTGTATCTGAATACAGGCTTGTTTTCAACAGGGACAGGATCTACCATTATAGATCTGGGACTCAAATCAGCTTCCTCGATATCAAAGCTTATCTTACCTTTTTAACTTTCTGCAGATAGACAATATAATATGTCCACAAAAGATCTCTCTTTATAAATTGTTATATGTAGATCTAAGTGCTGACAGTTTAAGTTGAAGGTATATAATTGTTAATAAAAATAAATGAACATAAAGATTGAAAAAAAAATATGTTTTGGATATTGTACGACAGGAAAACATTACCAAAGTGTACCTTTTGCCAAGAGATAATCGATTACTGGGAAGCTAACTAGATGTGTATGACTTCTTAGATGCAAACCTCTCTCTCAATTAGCCTAATGAAAGCCACCTGGAACATTATCACCAATTTCAAGGCCCAGACAGCTCCATTAGGAAACATATGTCATAGAATAAGAATGTGACCACTATTGGGTGAAATCTGTTTCATAGACACTCAAATTTCTGGGATCTTTGGATCCCCTTCCCACCAAAAAGCAAGGAAAAATAATATTTCATATTTATTTGTGCTCATCCCCTTATTAAAATATCACTCATACAGTTAACTATCATATTTCCTAATTCTTTGGAATTGGCCAAGTAACTCTAGAAGTACTGACCAACGCACAGTGGATTATTAATTTAATGATACTACACATAAATAAAAGTTTATAATCTGGATATTTCTATTATCTTGATCATGAGTATATTAATTTAATTTTTACCACGCATCAAAAAAGGTTATTTTAAAATAGAAGAGTTTTTATACATCTAATGACAAGTCATCCAAGTTCTAGGTTAATGTTAGTTTCCAAATTCGAATAACTGAATATTCTGTTCAGTCTTGAAAACAGGATGTACAGGGACCAGACTAAGCAAGTAATTATGCAGGAGTACTAGCAGCTGATTTTTACCAATATAAACTCATTTTCCTTGCTGAGGTGACACGGTACTCACTTTGTGACAAAGGCCAAGAGTACTGGGACGAGAGACTTGGGGAAATAATCCTGCTGGACCATGTGATTCAGAGTCATCAGAGGGCCATAAAGGCTTTGAACAGCTTTGATCTTCTCTTCACTCTAGAAAGCAGAAGCAAGATACAGATGAGCTACGTTCCTTAGTAGAAGTTCTCCTCCTACAATTAGTCTTACAGGTATCTATGAAATACCAAGCATTTACCTGTATTCCTTTCTATTCTTGTCCATATGTAACAAAATACACTCCTCCTACTCCTACATCCATTCCTTTATGCTGTCACTGCTGCAACCATGTTAGCAGCCTGTACCAGTCTTTGAAAGCCAAGAAAAAGGTAGGCTAACCATGTGTTGTTCACAGCACTACGGCATCTGCGTCCAGAACAGAACTACAACTTACAGCTTAAATCATCTGCAAAGACACTGAGTTGTGAAATGCCTTTTTAAAAGCCGACATCAAAGATTTATCTACAGTTCCATCAATATTGCACAATTTCTGTTTTGTCCACAGTCTCCACATTTTTCTGTCACACTAAGAACAGAAAGGGTATAAGTGAAGTGCCACCTCCATTTTAACAGAATTTTATAATGTTACTATAGCCTATTTCTATTATCTAGGCATGCGTCAGAACATCAGTGTCACAGAAACAAAAACACTTTCATTCACATTTGGCGAGATGTTGGCTTATGAATCCTGGCCATTTTGGAATAAGGATGCTGGGTTACTGACAGGGATAACACAAACCACACAGTCTCCACCAAATTATTGCAAGTTGTCCCCTCCAATTTTACCTTGAGTAATCCCATGTGGATCAGGAGGCTAGTAATGAAAGCATCAGAATTGAAGGTAGCTGAAGAGAAGGCTTCCCTCATCAACACATCTAAAGAGACAGATGAGAGTTAGTTTAAAGAGCTCATGAGATGCTTCTCTTGCACAGTGCTGTATAACTCACTTCATTTTTCAGGCTACAGTCCCTGTCTCTTAACAGGGCAGGTGGACCATTCACCACCACTTTGTTGAAATCCCGCCCTATTTAGGCAGCACGTTGGCCACTAAAGTGCAATACAGAAGAAGGGAAGAGATTGGATTTATACCCCGCCCTTTGCTACCCAAAGCTGTCTCAGAGCGGCTTACACTCTTCTTTCCCTTCCCCACTCCCCACAACAGACACCCTGTGAGGTAGGTGGGGCTGAGAGAGCTCTGACAGAAACTGCTCTTTTTCAAGAACAGCTGTGCCAGAACTATGGCTAGCCCAAGGTCATCCTGCAGGTGCAAGTGGAGGAGTGGGGAATCAAACCTGGTTCTTCCAGATTAGAATTCGCACACTTAACCACTATACCAAACTGGCATATAGAGAAATGGACCAGCTGCAACTGTTATCACAGCACAAAAAGCTGTCATAACTCTAACAAATGTCTTCTTCACCTAAAGGCTGGCTGGCAGGCACACAGCTACGAGCTGCTTTAAATTGCTCCACATGGTCACTTACTATGAAATGAGCCTAGAGATATGAAGGCTCAGGGAAATGAAAGTGGAAAAATGCCCCCCTCAGAACCTTATTTCTATTTTTTTCTAGCAAAAAACTGGAAATCTGCAGGAGCTCTAAAAACAAAGATTCCTATTCAATACTCTTTTAGAATGTGTGAAATGCTCTTTAAGATAAGGAATTACTCAAAATATATCAAATGAAAAAAATTACATAAAAATCTACAGCATTTGTTATAAATTGATTATACTGCAGATCCATTCTTGAGCAATGTAACTGAATGAGTGGTGACTGGCCAACTTCCGGGATTCCTAAATGAAGCAGTAAGTCTGGATCTGTTCCTGTTTAGTTCAAGGCCTGGTTATGGGACTAAAATGGCCTTTGTTGGCCTGGTGGAGAACATATGCTGGGAGATGGACAGGGGTGTGCGACACCGGTAATTCTCCTAGACCTCTCAGTAACTTTTGATACCACTGCTCATGTATCCTTCTGAACCACCATTCAGGATCAGGACAGGTTCTGTGGTGGGCTCCAGTCCTTCCATGAGGGTGGATTTCAGAGTGTGGTGCTGAGGACTGCTGCTCTGCCCCTTGGCTTATGGGGTTTGACAAGGTTCCATCTTGTTCCCCATACTTTTTGGCATCTATGTAAAGCTGCTGGGAGAGGTCATCCAGAGATCTGGGCTGAGTTGCCACCAATATGCAGCTGATAGCTCTATTTCAGGCTTCCAGCAGATCTCAGGGAGACAGTGGAAACTATGAAGAGGTGCCTGGAGGCAGTTTTGGAATGGATGAGGGTAACAAGCTGAAACAATCTCACAAGGCAGAGGTGCTACTACTGGGGGAAAGGTCTGACCTCGAAAATGGATGGGGTTGCACTCCCCCTCCCCCCAAAGGAGCAGGTCTGCAGCTTGGGGGTTCTCTTGGACTTTGGCCTCCTGTTGGATAAACAGGTGGCAGCAGTGGCCAGGGGTGTTTTTCACCAGTTTCAGCCCTTCCTGAGCAGTAAAGATCTTGCCACTGTGGTGCATGCCTTGGTAACATCTGTATTAGATTACTGCAATGTGCTCTACATGGGTACAGAATACTGTGGTCAGAGTACTGACTGGAGTAGGGACCATATCACTCCAGTCTTGTTCCATCTACACTGGCTTCTAATTTGCTTCCAGGCTCTATTGTTGACCCCCTGTGCTGTGTGGCCTGGGATTTATGTACCTTAAGGACCACCTTCTCCCATATAAACCTACCTTGTTCACTCTGGTCATCTTCGCAAGCCCTGCTTGGGTTGCTAGATAGGTGGTGACCCAAGAAAGAGCTCTCAGTTATGGCACCAAAATTTTGGAATTCCCTATTAATCTGTCTCCATCTACCAGTGTCTTCCACCAGTGGAAGACTTTTGATTTGGCATACCCCAATAACGGTTAATGGCCTCCTCCCTGGTTCTGGTGCTGTAGGATTGTATTTTTATTTATTTTATCATTTTAAATGTTGTTTTTAATTGTTCAAATGTTTTCTAGTTTGCTGCCTTGGGGACTCTGATGAGGTTGAAAGGCAGCATAAAAATGTTTTAAATAAATAAGCATGTGCTAAGGTAGCATAGGGTATAGCAGTCTATTCTCAGTCTTACATGTCGAAAGCTAAAGCATTTGTACTTCTAAATTCCATAAACATGCCAAACAGCATATAGATTGTATTAAACCATAAATTATACATGTTATGCCATTAATACAGTACAATATGTTTAGGTTTTATAGTCAGCCCTTGGGACTCAACTGCTTAGTTCAGGTTTGTTTCAGCTGTTTCAGATTTCTGCAGTCCTATTGTGTTATTCATTGACATCCTAGCCTGTTGAAGTACTTCTTCACCCAAAGAGTGATTAAATCATGGAATTTACTGCCACAGGTGGTGGTGGTGGCTACAAGCATGGACAGCTTCAAGAGGGAATTAGATAAGCATATGGAGCAGAGGTCCATCGGTGGCTATTAGCCACAAGGTATAGATAGGGACTCCGGGACAAGTGATGCTCTGTATTCTTAGTGCTTGGGGGGGGGGGGTCAACAGTGGGAGGGCTTCTAGTGTCCTGGCCCCACTGCTGGGCCTCCTGATGGCACTTGGTATTTTTGGCCACTGTGTGACAGTGTTGGACTGGATGGGCCATTGGCCTGATCCAACATTGGCTTCTCTTATGACTGTATTTGGCTTCTCTTGTATTTCACTTATGTTATGTAACGTTGGATTATACAACATGTAAATAAACTGGCCACCCATGTATTGTACAACCTGAGTGCTTCATAACCTCTGATTTGTGTCATAGGCTAGTGGTTAGCATAAGAACCTGGCAGTGTTCTATCTACAACTGCCATATTTGCCCTCGAGTTTCTCAGCCTCATTTAGTCTGAAGCTTCCCAGATATTTGGACCAAAGAGATGACCTCACCTGTTGTTTCATGCACTGCTGTCTTCACTGTCGTTTCATCTTTGAACACAGAAGAGATCTTCAGAAAAACCATAACTACCTTCTCAACATCAGAAGTGTCTGTCTAGAAGAAACACAACTCCAGATTATGAGAATGTCATGCCATATATCTAACAAATGTTGGAAATGTAAAAAAAAAAGAAGGCTCTTTTTATCATATGTGGTGGACTTGTGAAAAAGCTATGACCATTTGGACAGATATTCATGAAGAGATGCAAAAAAATTTAAAATGTACTTTCAAAAAAGAACCGGAAATACTACTTCTAGGTCTAAAGATGGAAGAAGTAAATGTAGTAAAAAAGACTTTGTTGTGGTACTTAATTACCACAGCGAGAATGACTTATGCACAATCTTGGAAGCAGGATAGAATACCTGATAAATGGGAATGGATACAGAAAGTACTATTTATGGCAGAAATGGACAAATTAACAAAGAAATTGAATAATAAAGAAGACAAAGAATTTTTTGAAGAATGGAAAGACTTTAAAGAATATCTAGAAAATAACTGGGATGTTAAAAATGCTTTACTTTGTTTGGACAACTACTAAGGGTTGAATTATAGAAAGATTTGAATTGTATAAACTAAGATTGTTACCTTGGAACGTAAAATGAAAAAGGGAAAGAAAAATGGAATTATAAAATGTATGGGCAGGGAGAAGCGTTGCGGGAAGCCACCAAATTGGGGGGGGGGGAGGAGGAGGTAAAAGAAAAGGATATGGAATTAAAGGAATGTAAGTTAATGTTGAATATGTTACATCCAAAATAAAAGTTTTTGAAAAAAAAAAGAGAGAATGTCATGCCTACGGCAAGATATCTTGTTGCTAGAAATAATAATTGGGCCATGCTTGTGCTTAAAACCTCAAGATTAAGCACACCTCAGCTGCTTCACGTTACAACTCTGGAAAAGCACACAAATGTAGGCTATTTCTGGAATCTAAATATATCAAACATTGTTAAGCAAAGTAACGCACTGAAAGTGCAAATGCACAATCTGCACATGTGAAGTCTTTCTGTACAGAATATTCACAAGAAAGGCACATGCACAAAATGAGTAAATCATTAAGTGTGTTCTTGAAGCACTGCCTGTGCTGTAACTCATCTCGCCCTCCCAGGAGTTACACTGTTAGTATCTTAGCAGTACACTTTGCTCAATAGTGCTCTGGAGGGAAGTTGGGTATTTTAGGCTCTCTGACTTCAAACTCCATCCTGGCACTAACTCATTTCATTGCCTTTGGAAAGGTACTTTCTCCTCATTTCCGTTTCCTATCTGTGAAGAGATTATCATAGTAACTAGGCCTATTCACACTGACACAATTCACTTAAACTGGGTACGAAGCTACTGTGCACAGAAACTAAAATGGTTTCATGTCTCACTGCAGCTCTCGGTACATTTCCAGAGATTACATGATCTAGTTTCTGATTATAAAAGCCTTAAACTGGGTACAAAGTTGATTCTTGCACAAGTTAGTTACCTCAACTAATAGTATCATGGGACAAGGGCAACTCCTTGTCTCCCAGAGTCCTTTGGTAGCTTTCTGGGTGCTGTTTTAGTATTCATATTCTGAATTCCCTGACACATGTGGGAAAGCCAAATTCCCCACTGCAACCTTGCAGTAAGTCACTCCAAGCCATTTCAAATGCAATACATGAAGGAGCATTTAATAAATAAGAAATCTGTACAACTGATCTTCACACAAATGGATCATCCTGAGATATATACATGGGAACGATTTTCTGCTTGTACAGGAAACTAATGCCCAGGCCGCTTGTAAAGCAACTTGGAAAGACTGGGCCTTATTACACACACTACACATTGCCAAAACCAGTAAAATGACTGACGTTTTAGTTTGCGGACTGTGTTCTATGATTCATGCATGTCCTTTTTTGGGAACAGTTTGAACACTTTTTCAGCAAAGAAAAGCATTCTTACAGACTCGAATGTCACACCAGCCAGCTAAGAGGGGAGGAACTACTGGTGAAGAAGGCAACACCAAGCACCTTGGGTGTACAGCGCAGCTGCTTGCATTTGATTAAGAAAGCAGTGA